CCCGGTGCTCCCTGGGCCTCCCAGCCGCCGGTGCCTGGCGCACACGCGGGCACCGACGTGGGCAGGCCCCGCGTTTTCCTCTGGTTTTACTACGTTGTGGTCAGCATCTCCTGGAGCGGCGTGCTGGGTTTGCCCGTGGCTTCGCTCTGAAGCATGTGGCTGCTCGGTCGGATTGCAGAATGTTGGTTGTGTTTGTAGCAGGTGACACGTGTCTGGTGGCAACTGAGATGGTTTTTTGCGTTACAGAACGGCCATGTTCAGCTCTAGCGCCAAGATTGTGAAGCCTAATGGCGAGAAGCCAGATGAGTTCGAGTCTGGTATATCCCAGGTATGTGGCTTTTCTTTCTGCTGTTTGGTAATTCACTGCAGGTAATGGAGAGAGTGTTGTGACAGTTGTTCAGAGCCTAAATTCTGAGGTTCATGCTGTTTAAATGTGTTGTTTTCCCTAGTCTTACTTAGCTTGTGTGCCTGCCAATTGCACTTGTTGCATGTTCCTGTGACTTACAGAAAGTTAAGTCTTTGATGCTGTCTGTAGTAATGAGCATATAGCTGCTCTCTGGCACTGTGGACAGGCTTTGGTCTCAAGGGCTTTTATGAACTGAGCTGTGTGTAACGGATTCTTCTGCAACTTCACTTTTCTAGGCTCTGCTGGAGTTGGAAATGAACTCTGACTTAAAGGCTCAGCTACGGGAGCTGAACATCACAGCAGCTAAGGTAGGCTGAGAACTTCCCTGCAAGGAACTGCTTAGTGGCTTGCTCTGTATGTTTAGTTTTTGTGGATATTAATGTAGTAGGTGAATGGTGTCTTCAGACCTTTTTTATGGCCTTTTATTATCTGCTGTTGTGGTTTATCTGGTGGTATTTGCTGTTTTTAACACGTAGGATTTTGTAATAGTGTGTTAGGAACTAGATTGAAAAGTCACTGTGAAAATTCAAATAACAGTCTGGTGTGTTAAATAAACGTGTTCAAAAATAGTTCTGCGTTCTGACTCTGCAAACTGGGTTTGAGGTCTGAAACTGGCTTTTTGCATGTGGATATTGGCTGGAAGTGTAGGTATTGCTGCTGATTTGTCAGGAACATAAACTGTAGCATTCTTTGCACTTGTGAATCTTTATTATATAATAGATAGTTGGTAGATTAAGGAAATAGACTGACTTGGTCATGTAGGTTAGCCTGCCTATGTGTTTCAGTTTTAGTTCGTACAGACAACTCAAACTTGAAGGAAGAAAAGAAAGAATACAATTAGTGGAAAAGGAGGGAGAAAATTAGTGTTAGAATTTGTCAGCCTGGATGGAAATTCTGGAGCTGGTTGCTAAGTCGTTTGCTTTTGGTTCTTGCCCAGTTCCACCAGACACAGTATGGACACAGGTGCATGACTGCTTAGAGGTGAGTTAAAGAATCAGGGAATGCAGAAGGCAGCTTGGTGTATGAGTTCAGAGGCCTTCAGAAGAACCACATCCCTGCTGAAGTACAGCAGTAGGAGCTGTCCTCAGTGAAGGGTGTTTAGAAATGTATCTGTTGTTCACTTAGCTCCTTGATTTTATTTGTGAGAAATCCGTGAACATCTCAGTTGGCTCAAGTGGGAATGTAGCTGTTGAAAAACAGTCTTCCCATTTTGCTGGAGAATGAGGATGTTCATTGGAGAAGTGCCTTGTAAGCCTATGCAAACATCTTTGTGTTTGATCAACTGATGGGAGTAACAAATGAGGGGAAAGGTAACCTGTATTGGTGTGTTATAATCCTGCTGGCATTTGGAAGGGAAGGAAATGTTTTGATTGAGTAGTGTTGCAGGCCTTGGTGAGTGGTGGGCAGAAGGTGATGTCATGAACCAGTAGCTCAAAAATAGGAAACTCATTAGTGTAAACTTTGTCTAGAATGTGTGTTAGAGGCAAGTAATTTCTGAAACTGTGTGAGCATGTAAATAGCACTGTAGAGGCGGTGGTGAGCATTCAGTAGAATTAATTCTAGCATCTGAGTCTCATCCTGTGGAAAGAATGAACTTTGCTATTCAGAGAATGCATTTTTGAAAGGAGTTGTGGGACTTACTGCCCAGTCACTCCTTTACAGCAAAATAAGTGCTTTGATAAAGGTTTTTCTGTTTAATGATTTGTCTTTAATGCATAGAGGCAGGTACTGCTCTCTGATGCACTTACCCTGCTGCAAAGTTGTAAGCAAGACTGTGCTCAAAGGATTCACCATCAAACCAAGCATTACTTCTTGCCTGCTAGGTAATGCTTACATTGTGCTTCTGTTTCAGGAAATTGAAGTGGGTGGTGGCAGAAAAGCCATCATTATCTTTGTACCAGTTCCTCAGCTCAAATCCTTCCAGAAGATTCAGGTGCGGCTAGTTCGTGAGCTGGAGAAGAAATTCAGTGGAAAGCATGTGGTGTTCATTGCTCAGGTAAAATACTTGAAATCATATAGGCAGAACACTTAAAATGTTGATTTGAGTGCATCCCTGGAGGTCTCTAGTCCAGCCTCATGCATGAACCAGGATTGCTGCCAGCATTAGATGAGGTCAGCCATGGTTTTGTCTAGCTGAGTCTTGAAGACATGTAAGGATGGTGATTTCACAGTCTCTCTGGATAACCTGTTCCTGTGCTGCACTACTCTTTTGTATTATGCACTCAAGGTAACAGTGATATAATGCTTATTTTTTGTACCAGCAGGAAATGTAATGAGTGTCCTATGCGTGTTAGCTAAATGAGGCTATGTAAACTTGGAGAGATGTGAAGCTTTTTCACAGAAGATTCACCTTTCTTTTTCTGAACCCTCTTACTCCTTCAGAAGTTTGAGAACCAAAGCTTGAAAATAAAAGAACATTAACATTAATAGAAGCTTTGCTACACTTACATAATCTAAGAACTTAAAATTCAAGTTAGTAGGAAAAGAAGCAAAAACTTGACTCAAGTTCTAAAAATATATTGAAGGAGCTAAGGCATGAAAAGGTGACAGAGAACTCTCTGGGCAGTACTGAGGGGTGGGCAAACTGGAGATCTGTCTGCAGAGTGGACAATTAGTAAGACTGAAGTGGATTTTAGTGAAAATTCTTAATACATTTTTCAGAGTCAGTGTGCCTTACCCTGAATCTTCATGTGACCAAGAAGACTTGTTTTAATGAAGTGCCTCTGGCTCACTTTGAGTGTTTCAGAATTCCTTGTCAGTTCAGTAATTTGTATTTTAGAAGGGAATGTCTGTGGTGGTTCTGCTGTACATGAAATGTTCTTGGTTTTGAATTAGGACATTACCCAGTCTGGTTTATAGTAACCCTGTCATGAATACAATTATGGAGAAGCTGTGATGTGTTGGTAGAAAATATTGCAGCTGGCTACAACTGCATCTAAAGCTCAGTGTTTTAAAACATCTACCTTTGCAGTAGAGAAGTGGAAAATAAGTTTTACTCATTTAAGCAGGAATAAATTCCTTTAGATGCTGCTTTTGAAACTGGTTGCATTTAAGACAGGATCTGATCTGGATTGTGTAATACATCTCTTTATTCAGACTAGCATTTTGATCTCAGATGTCAGCCAGCTGTCTGTGGGACTGAGATAGCTCACTGCTCTGCTTTGCACCAGAGGCTCAGTCTAACAGGAACTGTAAAATTCTCTGGGATTTCTGTTCCCAGGGAAGTGTGCTCTCATTGCTAATGAGATACAGTGAACTACTGAGGTTGCATTCATGGGGGGAGGAAGGATGAAATGCAAATCTTCTATTTCATTGCATTGAATATAGGATTAGTAATGCAGTTCAGCTTCTGCAGGTAACTGTGTTCTTATGCTGGTACAGCTTTGGGCATACTTAAGTATCCTGTTTTGTTTCATGCATATGTCTCTAGGGAGGGGGGAGAGGAAGGTGCATGTATTGAGAGGTGGGTTGAGTTGATTTCAAACACTAGATACTGAAAAATGCCCTATTTGTTGTGGGTTTTTGTTTTTTGTTATTTTGCCTTAACAGAGAAGGATTCTGCCCAAGCCAACGAGAAAAAGCCGCACAAAAAACAAGCAAAAGCGTCCCAGGAGGTAAGTTAATAATACTGATTCAGTATGACAGCCTTCTTTTGTAACTAACTGGTAGTTTAGTCAAGTGATGGCTAGTTGAGTTTTCGAGAAGTCATTCAAGTGATTGGGTAGTCTTGTCCTTTTGCTTACTGCTTGGAATAGTGTCTTGTCATGTGGCTGCTAAAGGATGCAGTAGAACGGTTGTCTTTAGGCACTGTGTTGCATTTCTTAGCACTCCATCTGTATTAGCCAGCTAGAGCTGTAGCCAGTTTTTAGCCAGCTGTGCTGGCTTAAACCCCAACCTGCTGTCTCTGTTACCACAGTGTGCTGACAAGAATTATTTCTTTTTAAGCTGTAGGAAGAGCTACTTCCACATCACATGTTAGACTGTACAGAAGTCAAGGCTGGCACACTGAAGGGATGCAATGAGGGAGAGAGTGGCTGAGGAGGGTTATAGGTATGAGTACTAGTCCCTCTGGGTATGAATTCAATAGCAATAGTATAGTCATTTGTGTTAAATGGCCTCCCTGCTCTCATCTAGTCTCCTGATTGCTAGACATGCAACACTGCTATGTCTCTGTGGATGTCAGTGCTTCATCTATACTGTTCTCTATCTTGCTATATCATTATGTAGTCTGTGTTGTAAAAGTTTGTCCTTGTTATGACATGTGATGTGTTCCTGTAACTTCTCCCAGCACCAGTATTACACCTGTCATATGTTACTGTATTTTGAAATCTTCAGGCATGGATTTTAAAAGTACAGTTTTGTAGTACTTACCTGGCTGCAGTCCTGCCTTTGGAGGACTCTGCGTCTGTTGTGCTAAAAGTAGTGTTGTACAGTGGCTGGAGAGGTTGGCATCAGTGTCTGTGACTAGCATGCTGCCACTTCTGCAGAAGAAAAGGCAAGTGTGCAGGAGTGTCCCTGTCTTGGCCTGAGAGAAGATCAGGCCAGTGTTGTAAAACTGCTGTGTACATTGTGAAGCATAGAAATATGACTGATGTTAGTCTCCCTTAGCTATCCCAATCTTCCCAGTTTTGAAGTGCTGCTGTAGACACAGGTCTTAGTTACTAGTGATACTTCCTTGAAAGTGCAACTACGGGTACTGGAAATCTTACTAGTCCTCTAGACTTCATATGAAATAACCTGGGCTAATTTTACTCATTTTGGCTCACTTCTGCACAGTTAAAGAACACACCTGTAGGCATCAAACAGTCTGCGAAGTATGGACTAAGCTTAACCAGCTAGTCTTCCTGTAATACATTGGTGTTCTAAGCTGCTTGAGTTTAGGCAGATGAAGAAACTAGTGTTTTCAAAACTGGGTATCCTATGAATGTACTCTGCGTAGCTGAAGACACTCGCATGCTTAAACTCCTCCTGTGAGTGTTTCTGGGAAAATTGCAGATGGGACAACTTGGTTCTGATTTAAATGTGTAGAAATAGAAGAATGTTTCCAACAATGTGCAGTCTAAAAGGTCAGAAACGTGGTCATTTTTTCACCTTACACAGTCATTAAGTTTCTGCACTCGGTTTAGAATTTAGCTTTTATTTTTGCATGGCCTGTCACACTGTGGCATTAAACATATCCCCCTTTCCCCCTTGCAAAAGTCAACTGAATTTTCAGCTAAAGCATGCTGTGGAAGGTTTAAGTTACAACAAAATGAGAAATTTTCAAGAGGATGTGTTTTAATGATACAAATGTGGCATTTCAGCCGTACACTTACTGCAGTGCACGATGCTATTCTTGAAGACCTGGTGTTCCCAAGTGAAATTGTGGGCAAGAGAATCCGTGTAAAACTGGATGGCAGCAGGCTTATAAAAGTCCATCTGGACAAGGCACAACAGAACAATGTTGAACACAAGGTAAATGAACAAAACTTACTTTCTCATGCAGGTTGGGGTGGCATTCTGACATTGCTAGAGACTGCTTAGTGATAGAGCAAATAAATGTCTTCTGGCTTGTGGCAGTTGGAGGTGCTTCTGTTTGTGTCTGGAGTAAGATGAGGCAAGACAGTTTTGAACTGAAGCTGGATTGTAAAGTAACTATATTGATTCTCTCATGGGAACAGTGTTTTGCTGTTTTTTTTCTGTGCTTAGGGGTTTGTCGGGTTGTTTGTTCGGTTGGTGTTTTTTGCTTTTCAAGTGAAGCACTTAGTTTTGACCTTAAGTACAGCCTGCCCTTTGATTTTTTATTTTTTTTTTTGTTTGTTTGTTTGGTTGGTCGGTTGGTTTGGTTTCTGGGTTTTTTTTTGTGGGGGGTGTGTTTGGCCCTGCTCAGCTCCTGGGGTCTCCCATGGTTGCAAATCAAATTGGTTCCAACTACTATCCAGAAAACATATCTTTTGTATAAATACTTGGCTACCTTAGTCTAGAAGAAAATAATGAGCCTCAGAGCTCATGTTGGCATAAAGGCGCAGTGTCAAATAGTATACTATCTTAAGTATGTTAACTTCGAGTTACTTGTTTATGCAGCATATATGAACAAGATTGTTTTTCCTTACAGGTGGAAACATTTTCTGGTGTCTACAAGAAGCTCACAGGCAAAGATGTGGTGTTTGAATTTCCAGAATTCCAGCTGTAAAGTGCAAAAAATGGCTGAATAAACAACTGTTCATATAACAGAGTAATTTTATTTAAATTTTTACTTCCGTAAGCATAAATGGGGATTGAATGGTTCATGGGACTTCTCTACTGTCTAGAGAGTGACACTTGTGTGTCAGCATTTTAATGGTTGCCGTCTCAGGTTGTTCTTGGCACTCTTTTGCAACACAACTCTGGACAAAAATTGTCCAGTCTGCAAAAAGAATTGACAGTGAAAAATAAACCTGTGTGTTGTGAGACTCACCTTCTGTGAGAATGTGGAGAATTACTGTAGTGCAGTAGAACTCCTGAGTTTTGCACACAAGAATACGAGTTGGAGACCTACGTGTTCCTGACACTGGAAGAAGTCTACATAGCAGGTGGTATGACCTTTGAAATATGGAGTAGTGACACCTGAATAAGAGTTTGAATTCTTAGGAAATATATTGGGGGAGGTATAGGCTGAAATCTGAGGGAACTTGCTCGAAGTGGCAAAATTGTGTACCAGTTCTTAGCTAAAAGCAGGTCCTGTAGCTTCTCACCTTTATCAGAATGAAATGGTGAGAAATTTCTACTTCTGAGTGCTTGACTACATTACTGAACAAAAACTACAGTTTTTTAGGTATTGATCTTGCTTTCAGAAATGTTTGGGGTTTTTTTTTTTTTTTTTAGATGGTGTTTTGACATGGTTCAATACATACAGAGGTTGGGAAGGAAGGACTAGGTGTATCACAACATCCAAAGGCTGCATGGTAGTGTCCCAGAAACACTAAATTTTTGACTCTGGTATCTATGTTTAGAAACACTTTCAGGAAGTTCCATTTTTCCCAGCTCAGAGGGGGAGCATGGAGTTGTGCATGTAACATCCTGAGTGGTTTGAGTGAGTTTCGTACCTAACTACTGAGCAGGCAGTCAGGAGTGTTTAATACAGTAAAAGACAACCAATTATGGAGTCGGTCTGTTAGATGGAGAGCTAAGATGGTAATGACTTGCGTACCAGGAGCTCTTAAATTGCATCTTCCCACCTTAGAGTAGATGTAAGACAAGTGCCATATACTGAGAGTCTTTGTACCTTTATTTCCTGTTCCCATTTCCTGTGGTTTTGGTAGCTCCCCATTTGACACCTTTTCTTCAGCTGTGGAAAGCTAAAAGGTTAAAACAAGTTCTGCATAGTTTTTGCATTGAAAAATGAAGACTTAAGTCATGCTATAACTAGTGTTTAGTAGGGCAGGTCAGATAGCAGTGTGCTGTTACTTTTGGTGCAGAGAATGCAAAGAGAAGGGAAACACATGCCCTGTTGCAATTAGTTAATTTCCTGGTACTTGCTGACAAGGCTTGAAAGTTTGCACAAAGAGCAGACTGTATCTTTGGAGGAGCTGGCTTACCTGAAGGCCTTTTGCTATCTCCTTTTCATTCTTACGTCTCTGGAGTATAAACTAATTCCTTAGTTATTCATTGACTATTTATTGTTGATCTTGGATGATTCATCAGAAGTGAATTCATCAGCTTCCATTAGAATTAGATGAGGGGAATTGCAGATACACAGTAGCCTCAAATCCTATCTGCTTGTGTGGAGAATAATCAAAGCTAATAATAATCAAAGATCTTAGAGTAGGAGTGCCAGAATTTTTGAATTCCAAGTTGTCATTGTTAAAGTGGATATTACTCACGTTGGAAACACCATCCTCTTGTCCTCCAAAAATAATTCTGGTCTTGAGTCGGACACAATACTAAGCTTTCAGTTAGAACAGTCACAGATGGTAGCTTGTGTGAATAGGTATTTGCTGGTGTGGATTGGAAGAAGCTGTCTGGGGAGTACTTGGAGAGTTAGCAGATGTTACCTCACTTGATTGGAGGTCGGTGAGTCTGCTGGGGCAGTGTAACCTCTATAAGAAGAGGTGATCCACAGCAGGCTTCAGTAGACAGCATCTCCTGTTTCATGGTGAAATGTAACTCAGATTTGATCTCTTAATAAAAATGTCAAGAGTTCCTTTTGAAGAACTGGGAGGGGGTGAGTGGGGGAGGAGAAGTGTAGTAAACTGAATGTTCCCAGGCATTGCCAGCTGGCTATAGATTTTTCTTGGCTCTTGTTGCAAGCCCTTTTGAACTATATGAAATGCAAAGGCCCATGATGGCCCCATGAGCAAATGCTTTTGAGTGAAAGGATAACACTGTCAAAGCCCATTGTGGTTCTTACATTAACCAAGCTGCAAGTGAAGGTGGGGCTTTGTGGCATAAAAATAGGAGGCTGTGTGCTTTGCAAAAAGACTTTAGTTCTAGTTTACCTTTACTCACAGACTCCCTTGCGTGTTTGTGTCAGTGATACAGTCAGACAAGTCCCTCTGTCCCTTGACAAGCGTATCAAGTGCATGCCTGCAATCTGGAAAGTCAGTTGATGCCATCTGGTCAAGTGCTAATGAGACTGCTGGAATGTTGGTGTCAAATGGTACCTTAACCTAAGCAGATTCCATATGAGATGATGCTAGACTTCTATACCTTTCATATGCTGTCACAGTTGAACCCCGAATGTGTGATTTCTCATGAGTTTTATCAGCTGGTCTGGGTGAAAAAGTCGTGGGGCATTCTGTACCAAGACCCTGTGCAGCAGTAGTATGTGGGTAGTGTCAACGTGAAGAGACAACCACGTGCTGAAGAATATAAAAAGACCAGTTCTTTCCTGTAGTAACCCCAAATGAGCAGCAAAGGCTTTACGTCTGTTAGGTGCTCTTAAGACTTCCACCTGATATTACAGCTTTGTTTATTTTGTAAGAATCCTTTCACAAATGTCTTCAAGTTTTTTTTCTGTGAGGAAGACTGCTCCCTGCTGATTTTCCTTTGAAAAGGTCTGTAAGTGTGTCACAATTCTAGCATGTCAGAACTTGGCTGAAGTTTTGGGAGTAAGTGCTTGACCTATCTTGTATGAACATGATAGTTCAGTGTATGATAACATCATGTCTGAGTAGCCCCTCTTGAGTGTAAGTGGGAACAAATGGTGAGTTTTAGTATTGCAATTCTCATGCCAAGCAGTGTCTAAAGGAAATCCAGTCGTTACTGTGTCGTGGACTGAAATCTATTTTCTGTGCCTTTGTTTTTCCTAAATTTTCTAAGTGGGAGATCTGAGTTTGATTCTCAATTACCTCTAAAAGTGGAAGCAATGGCAAAAAGCTAGACATTTTCCATTTGAGGTGTATCAGAATGACAGAAAAAACCCCTCTGATTACAGAAAGTCATGAATCGTAAAAAGGCTGGGGGACAGGCTGAGGGAGTGTGAGTTTTCCTGTCTGCTGTACCGGCCTGATGGGCATTGATCAGTGCAAATGGTTGACAGCTAAATAACGAAGTGGCTTTGCTCTGCCCCTTGCTGCCTGCCTTGAGTGCTTGTGTGAAAAACCTGTGTTCTGCTGAGAGTGAGACAAAAGTGATGTGAAGATCTCTTTGTACTAGTGCTCTGTTTGCTGCAGAGTGCAACAGGTAAAGGTTCTTAATTATATCTTGTGATCAAGAGGAGAAAGTTTGTTGGATTTGTTATAGTCTGAGTTCAGGTTTCCCCTCCTCTACCTTCCAGTTACTGTTATTCTTTCTTGTTTTCAGGAAAATCATTCTTAAGCTCAGCAACCAGCAGTTGCTGCTAGGTGTTGCTAAATGATTAATAGCTAATGTTTTTCATTATTGGATTTTGTGTTAACATGTCTGGCTTGGTTGTGATCTGCCCCTGGAGCAGCAAAGATAAAATTACAACCAAGCACTGAAGAGGTTATTCCAATTTTAGAGCTGTGATGAATGCTGCTTATAAATGTTACACAAAAAAAGTTGGTGCAACATCACTAATGAAGTTGAAAGCCAGAATTTACATATCTGCAAATAAAGTTAAGCCTTTGTTGCCATGTCTACACTGATCTTTCCCACCATACAACTACTGTATTGCATAGAAAAGGTGGTAAGGATAGTTTCTGGTGTCCCCTTGCCACAGAGGGACAGTGGTGCTGGGACTATGCTAAGTAAAGGTTCACATGGGTATCTTCACGGGGACAGGTCTACAGACTGGTTTTTACCAGGCATATCTTAATGTTTAGTGAAGTTGCTTCCTATTTTCCTATTTACTAAGCAGTTACTGTTACGTGAAGCCAAAGAGAATGGGACACATCATTACATTGTCATGGGAGCAGAGGAGGGCATGCACTCAGCGTGCAGGTCTGTACCATAAAGCAGTCCTACATTTCTCCTTGCCTTAAGGGGCTTACTAAGGGCCCTTCCTTTCAAGAAATGGAACAGCATTTGTCATGGCCTGCAGTAAACTGAGCTCCAGCAACTGTACTCAAACACTGATTTACTAAGGAGTTTGGGTGTTGGAAATTTTCATCCCTTGGGAAAATCTGGCTGGGAATGTCACTGATACTGTCAGATGTTTTGCTAAACCAAAGAGAGAACCAGGGCCTTGTCATCTCTTCACATGATTTTTAAATAGCTGTTGGGTTTTTAAATAGGTATTATATTTAATACTCTTATAGATGGGAAGATAATGCCAACTGACTGTGCAAAGAGAAAAAATTGCCTGAATGCTCCTAAAATGTATAAATATTTTTTCTTACATTCTAAAGACTTGATGTTGCCCTTTTACAACCAATTAGATTTTGTTTACATGGTTTTGATTTGGTATCAATCCAAGACTTCTACCTATCGTATCAGCGTGGTATTTAACCTGAACTTAAAGGCTGAGTAAATGTTGGTTTGGGGTTCAAGCTGAGGTAGCTGGTCTAACTGGTGTGTCTTGATGTATAGAGTCAGAATGGTTTGGATTGGAAGGGACCTTGAAAATCATCTAGTCTAACCTCACTGCTGTGGGTAGGGAGACCTTCCACTAGATCATATTGCTCAAAGCCCCATCCAAGCTGGTCTTGAGCATTTCCAGGGATGGGGCATCCATAATTTCTCTAGGCAACCTGTTCCAATGCCTCACTACCTACACAGTAAAGAATTTTTAATATCTAATCTAAACCTACCCTTTCTCCATTTGAAGTCATTCCTCCTTGTACTGTCACTATAT